TCTTGCTGAATTTTGGCAATTTTCATCAGCTATGACTTTCGTGTATACCATTATTATATCACTTTTAGACTGTTTTCCTATCGCGTTCATGTGTGACCGACGCTGCTTATTGCGGGCGGAAAAACCCAAAGTTTAAATTAATAATGTTCACTCAGGATATCCTCCTCTGGTGTTAAATTTGAACCTCGTCTGTGAAACGTTCAGGGCATACTCGTAGGTATCGTAGGGAAAGTTTTTCAAATTCACAATTCGAAAGGATATTAACCCTTCGTTGAGCTGAGTCAAGTTAATTCTCTTTATTAGAGAGAATGATGATGTTAACGCCAAACGGAAAACTTCAATTTGTACCCTGACGTTATCAACAAACGTTCCCTTTTGCTCCTACAAAAAAATTGGATAGTTTCACGCCAGTTCATGCATAAGAATTATTTTGGACAGATATATCTCCCTGTTTCCTATTGTGAAAAATTTTCAACTTAGTTTTGACGTTCGACCGTTTGCGTTAACGTGAGTCCAAATGTATTGCTGGTCGGCGAGAGGGGAAGAAGAAGCGAATCCTGGGCTCTGATTGGCTACCGGGCCCGAGCGAGTAAGACCTCTCTTGCTCCCTCCATTTCCTTTAAAAAATCGGTTATTAGGTCATACAATAAATCCTTTACCATTGACGAAACTTGTTCCGTCAAGATGGCTTGAAAGTAGCTAGCCTCCTTCTTTTGTTCACTCAAGCAATTCAATCACCCGTTAGCAAGTATGATTGTAATCTCACACACCTGTTTAAGCATTCGTAAACAATGTTTAATCGTTCCATAATTCTTGGGTAAGTACAAAAGTCCTTGGAAATCTTTGCACGACCTCGGTAACCTTCGCTAATATTTAGATTTATTTATCACATTTGAAAGTATAACTGAAACGATTTTCCGATTCAACACGGACTCGACAACTTCTTAGCCTGCATACTTTCATCAATGTTATTTACTATGTATTTTAATTTCTATATTAAAATTAATTAGTTTTGCGGGTTTTCCCCTTGTGAATGCTCCATACTGTTTTTCGTTTCTTAATTATGAGGTTTTAAGAAGTCTCCAAAGTATGCATTCTGGCCCCGTGAAAGACTCGTCTGAGCCGGAATTTAAAGAAGTTTCGTGATTGCTCTGCCGTCATATATTTTACCGCATTCTTTTTCACTTGCAAGTTTCAAAAATCTGCTGGCAAAGAATTCAAAACTTTTTTTCAATAACGCTCCCTTTCCCGGCACCAAAGGAAAAGCTAAACTACCATTACTTATATGTAAGCTGCATGACCTTATTTGTGTAGAGGTTGACTTTATTGAACAATTCCTCAATCCATTTTTTTAATAATTTAATACCGGTGTATATCTCAATCATGCGGTTCATGTGCATAGAAAAACTTGCAGAATATTTGACCTTAAACTGACTTTCCAAACAGTCTCACCGGCGAAACAGCACCCTTACGAGTGTGTAATTTGATATCTATATAAGATGAATTGAGGATCGTCTGGTGTAAATAAAACAAAAGTGCCTCCAAAGAAATTAAAACTGGAAAATTTTTTGTATATTCCCCTTTATCTTCTTGTTATCTTTCCTTTTTTGGTCTTACTGAAGCGGCGGAATGAGATTACAATATACCTCGTCAAGGATCCTTTTCCATAAAATTGAATGACCCACTGCTACTATTAAAACCAGGATTATCCGAGACAAGTGACGGTTGAATAGTCTGAAGTTCGATGGACGGTGGCCTTTTAGAAAAAATAAAACTTTTTTCAGGTTGAATTGAAGTAACCTTTGGGAAGTTGATAATTTTCCGTATCGCCATTCTTATCTCCATCATGCGCCAACAATAAATCAGTGGATTGAGCGCAGAGTTGATAAAAATCGATGTAACTGTGTAGAGATAGGCGGCTTTTGTTAGAAGAGTTTCACCTTTGGCAACTTCCACCAGCATCACTACAAGGAAAGGAAAATAACAAAGAAGAAAAAATCCTAGAATATACAACATGGTTATTGTTGACCGCTTGTATCGTACCATATCGATAGTCTTGCTGTTGTCGCCGGGCGTTTGCGTGAAACACTGTTGCCTAATTTGCATCTGATGTCTCCTGACAAGTTTGTAAATCATGGTGTATGCCATAAACATTATCACCGATGTTATAACCAGGAAATTCACGGCAATAATTCTTAGTACTTTTCTGCTCACCACAAAGAATCTCAACACCGTTATTATTATCCAGATTAACCAGAAACTCAGAGCTACTTTGGCAATTCCCCGCCTTGTGACTACTTCATTATAGCGCAAGTGAAGATGTACGGCAAGGAATCTCTCGCAGCTGATTGCTGTAATAGTAAACAGCGAAACACCAGCAAGAAGCCAGCCGAAGCTTTCAGACACTAATCCCGCAACGCAGTGTACACTGACATTACCGGCAATTTGCGAGATGCGCCAGGCAGAAAACGCAGGCTGAGCCAATGAGCCGACTGCAAGATCTGAGGCGGCTAACGAGAGTAGAAGAGCGTTGGAGGCTGTTTGAAGCGACGGTGTTTTCCACACCGCTAAAATAACCAGTACATTTCCACAGATGCCAGGTAAAATGAACAGACAGTTTAGAACTGAACAAATAAGATTGTGAATGTACAAGTATTCAGGATCCTCCACCGAATCAGCCATAAAACGACAAGAATTCGCAAACGCTTCTACCTCCATGCGCGGGTTTTCTGTAGCCATGACACACTCGTCCCAGCTGAAGATTATACAATTTTGATGATGGCCTTGGAAAATGTCCAAATGGAAATCAGATAGTTTAAGTGTGAGTTAGAAAGTCTTCTGTCATGTCGGTCGCTTAGACGTCGATTTCAACTGTTTTTTACAGAGAGTCCAATATTTTTTAGAGGGACGAAAACTGAAACCATGGTTCCCTACGCCTCCGATTAGCTAAGTACATGCATTGAGTGAGAGAAAATCTATTCTTCTTCCAGCTTCACACCAGCGTGCTACCGTAAATTGAATGAATAATTAAATTCAATATGAGGTCCATAAAAGATATTAGGCAAGAGTGTAATTAATAACATTGCGCGAAAGCAGAGAAAACATTGTTACTTTGGTTTATTTGTGTGCATGGCAGCGGCGGCTGAAGTACATGGTGGCGAATTGAACAGTTTTTGGGCCAATGAGGTTTTCTACACCAGAGCATTGCGGTCTGTTTAAATGAAGCATAACAAAAGGTGTCTTTTCCGTTAAAACAAATTTAATCTTAAGTAAACAGGCGTTAAAATTGGCCGAAAGCTTAATGATATAACACAATGCATTATTTAAAGGGTGTGCCATCTAGCTGGACAGTATATGCAGTACTTAGAGGCAGTCAATTAAACCTCGTTTTAAAAGAAAAGGCTCTTAATGCGCAATTCTTGATTCTGTTTTTTTTTCTTTTTTATCGGAAGATGATTCAAAGATAAATTGATGTATGTTTTGACGTTAAAACGGACAGAGCAAAACTTTTATCATTTTCGGTTTGCCAGCAGGATGGTAAATATAAAAGCGATCGGTATTTTGAGATGGCTATCAGGTCGTAAACGGGAACAGGATTATAAATCTTAGTGTTGTCTCAACAATGTCGACAGTTCAAAGGAAAGCTCGTTTAAAGTCAATATCCACCATGTATTTTAAAATCTCACATTGCATTGTACGTTTTATGAGAAGAAAAGAATAAGAGAATGAAAGCGCAAGCAATTTAAGTAATCGACGATAAAAATAGGATCTGAAATCTGGATGATAAATAATAATTAAAAATTTAATGTTATTGGTTAACTGATTTACTCTTTCTACAATGCCGAAGATCAGACAAATTGAACCGATCGTTAAAACTCGTCAGCACCATTTTTACATGACACCCAGGCAATAATTTTAAATGTCTTGTATTGCGCCATTTTGATTGATGGCAATTTCAGGCATCGGTTAATTGAATAGCAAAGTAGCCATCAAATCATCACATACTGAATGGAATCCCGATTTTCCAAACCACGTTAAGAAAAGCAAATCGGTTCGAATTATCGAGGTTTGAAAAATCGCGAGTAAAATTACAAGTTTGCCGCGGACTTTTAAAGAGAGGCCAGGTTTGATTCGAAATCTGAGATTTAATTCTAAAAACTGGCCGAGTTTTCAAGAAAATAGGTTATACTGTACATTCGAAACTGTTTAATTACTGCTTAATTTTTTCCCTTTTCAAAAGGAGCGATCTTTACTATTAAAGCCAGCTGTCTAGAGAGGAGGCTGTAGTACGTTGATTTTAAAAAAATAATTACACTTCATTTCCCTTTCTTTAGAACATTCAAATCAAACCTTTTAGCCTTAAATCGAAAAAAAAAAAAACACCTCCATATTTATGACAAAGAAATAAAGTAAATCAATCAAAATTAACGTTGACGATTTATTAGGTTCAGCGCGAAAACAGCCGATGAGGAGAGAAAATAAAGGCTTCACGTTCTCTTGCCGGTAACCTTTATCTATAAAATGCCTTGACCATATTGTTTAGGATAATAACATATTAGTAATGCCGGTCAACATAAAAGAAACCCGAAATTTGGTTTCATAAACTGAGTTGATATCGATTAATTTATTTTTCGCAAGTATACTGATGAGTTTCTTAACGGTGACCACATCTCACATTACCAATTCCCTCTTGGAAATTTTGCCGAAGCTATTCGGCCATAAAGGACCAAAACTATTCAAATTTTGTTCATGATACTGCCAAACTTTCTCGTCAGCAGAGCTACTTGGCTTTTTTCTACCCCAGAGCTCTAGGGTCAGTTTCACTTACTCGCAAGTTCGAGCATGCGCAGAAAGAAAAGAAATCGATAATTTTTAGGTCTCGCCCATTCTCGTCCCCAGAGCCACGTGGTCACGTGGTCTTGAAACGAGAGGCTCGCCACTGGTTCGTTAAAAGTTGTGCCGAGTGGCTCTGGAATGGGTCTGGCCCATTCTCCTTCCAGAGCCATTCGGCTTAATTTGCACCAAAAGAAACGACGGGGCTGTAGGATCGAGAATGGGTCTACAGGCCCTAGTAATGCTCTCTCTCTCTCTCTCTGAAAAGTCATTTATCCAGTGGATAGCGCTATCGAACGTTTGTGCAACCGGGGCTGAAAGTGACACAGTTGACTCAGTGACATACACAATTACCGGACTATTACCTTTAGATTTCTCTCCTCAGAACCCCTTTGACCTTTTTCACTTCTTTCATTCCAGCTCTTGGCTCAAACGCTTTGATTCGAATTCATTGTTTTTCCTCTTGTAATCTGATTGGGTTGATGTTTCTAAGTGGTTTCGGCTGCTGCGGCGAAATTCAGTCGGAGCCTTTCAGACCTTTCAGCCGAAAAAATTTCAAGCTCATACCGAACAAAATTTTCTATCCTGTGATCAAGAAAGCACTACAAGATAAGATTGTCAAGGGAAAACACATCGTTAGAAAACTTGAAGATAAGCAGAACTTTTTACTACATTTGGAGAAATTTTCAGTAAATTTCGACTATATTTGTTTGTTTTTGTCTTTCTTTTGGACTCGGGTAATAATGCATTCCAGGGGCGGATCCAGGATTTTTTTAGGAGGGGGTGCACTCGTCTCTTGCTCTACTTCAACACCAATAAACCACATAGTTTTTTTTTTTGCAGAATACCAGTTGTATTAGAAAACCGCAGGTCATCTCAGGGGGGNATTCTGTCCTGTTCTCTGACATCAGTAATCTAGCAAAAAGCTAATATGTTTCCGTCGCTGCTATGATCATTGTTTTCATTTCAAGTTGTGTCACGCAAGAAGCCAGGACTTTGTAACCTTCGAGGCTACCATTTTTTCGAAGTTTGTAGTGACATGTTTATCTTTTTAACAACATAGAACTTTTTACGATCTGTTTTACATTTTTATCGACCATGCTTGAGGGAGAATAAGACAGGAGTAAAGAGTTAATGAGTGAGATATTTTGAAGCTGTATACGCGAAGAGCATCTCTTAAGAAAAGAATGTTTCATATAAAATTCATAATCTCTTCCATGATTTGAAATAATGCTTGACGACACAAAAAAGCTAATCTGGAGCTAAGAAAATTCGAACGCACTCATTAATCTATGATTACTTCTAGTATTCAAAATATCATTGGCATATTCAGATTTTCATGTAAGTAGGAGAAAAGCCAGACGGGCTTAATTTCAGTTGGACGGAAAAATAAGGTGGGGCCCAAGTCACTCCCCTTGATCCACCAGTAAATAGAAAACAACAGGAGATTACAGGGGCTATGTTACTTAGCCTGTAGATTGCAAAACAGTCGTTTTTTTTCTAAAAATCAGTAAAGAAGTCGGTAAAACGTGGCGTAAGAGTCTTACGCGCGCGAGCCGAAAGGTCCGTAGGGCGCGCGTGTGTCTCTCTCTCTCCAGTCTCGCTCTCTGTTTTCAGCCTCGTTCCAGACCTTTTGTTTGACTGCTCGCGGGTACCTGAATACGCAAAAGTACGGACTGTTTTACAGTCTATCGCAGGCTATATCACCGTAACGATTTCTTTCGGCGATTTTTGAAGGCATAGCATTACCCTGCGGGCAGAGGTTTCTCTCTAGCTCGGCTTTTAGCGTTTAAGAAGTCGATCGCGTCGCTTGACACTGTTGTCAGTCGCGACGTACTATATACAGAATTTCACAGACACTAAAATGGGGAGGGGTTGGGAAGGTCACCTCGGACCACCCCTAAATCCGCTCAAGATCTTTTGTAAAATAAGTTTGGCACCAAGCATGGTGAATAGATATCGTTCATACCAGTACTTATCACTCTATGGTTCAAAGGGGGTAAAAACGAATGATTAAAACGAACTAACAGTGGGAGTTTCAAAACGGGCATCAAGGAATGACCATCACAGGCAGGAGTCTCAATAAATACTCTCTTGACACCTGTAACAAGGACTCGAACACGAGAAAGAGTTGTTAATGTAACAAGAATACAAGAGGTAGCATGTTCATGTAACCCACGCAAGGATCTCACTACCTTTTCTGGCTAAATAAGAGCGGCTCCATTTTTCGAAAGTTCGGTAACTTCTTGAGCCTGAAGCTAAACTTTAAAACTGAATGAAAATCTGAAGAATGGTAGTGCGGATTCTGGGGGAATGAAAAAGGCGGCTTTCAAAGCCTTTCAAGAAACATCCCATCCTAGGTCCTGGACAACCAAACCCAGGTCCCGGGAGGCGGAAGGTTACATCAGACATAACAATTTCAGAGTGGGAGTCACAAAAAAATAATAAAGAAACAAAAGTGTACAGTTACAATTTTTATTTATTGAAAAATCAACGGTATCTACGGAGAGACAGCGTATTACGCCTCTTCCAGGAACCGCGACGGGAGCTGCCAATCACCTTGTTGAATCTATGACCCTTGCGCATTCCACGGTTTTTACGGCCAGCGGCAGTCAAGCCACGCAGCTCACGGTGCTTATGGACTGGTTTGCAGATCCAGTTGATTCTGGGGTCACGGCGGACAGCTTTGTGGAAGGGATCTACCATTATAACTTCAAAGTACTTGTATGTGGAATCGTGGGCGACCCAGTACGAGTTGAGCACCCGCAAGCTGCCACAGTAACGACCAGCACGCTCCTGAAGGAAAGAAAATTTCATTGGATTTTATTCAACACTATTTTCTTCCTGTTATCAGCTTCTCTGATAACAAAAGTCAGGAGGTATCAAACCCCTCTCTAAAAATTTGCTCACATATGGCCACAATGAAATAGTGATGAAGTCGTGCTGAATTCAAAAATCAAAACTATTCCTATATTTATTTCATCAGCAAAGGATTTCGATTTTAAGAAGGGAAAGAGAATGGAAAAAGTCAAGACTGCTGTGTCACTTTTAAACCCAAAAACTACATTGTTGCTTTTGGTGCATGACTGGAAATTGGAAGCTGATATTTTGGATCTGGAACAGAAGGTGAAGTGCATAACCTGGAATCAGTACTTTGGTACGTTTAGCTCTTAATAGCCAGATGGCCCGACTAGCTTTAAGATGCATTTTTTTGGTAAAATTCCCAGGGGTGAATGGATTAACTTCATATTAAAGGTTAGCCTTTGCAAAGACTGTTAATGCTCATGTTATCTTTCTTCTCAAAGCATGTGAACAGAGAGAACACATGCATTTGCAGTAAGGAAGAAAGAAACAAGCAGCACTCAGATGCATTCAAGAACCTTAAGACAAGGATCTCAGAAGCAAGAGTTACAACTTGATTACTTTACCACAAGTGTAACGCAAATCAGTGAATATACACAACAGTTTGCTGACTACTTATGGATAAGACCATGTTTACATTTACATCTACATCGGCAAAATCATTTTCAGATAGCACACCAACTTTTACAAAACATAAAATGAATAATAAGCCCATCTGTATTGGTGAGTACAACTGTATATGAATATGGATCTACCTGGATTTTTGAAAACAAACCTATCAAGATTTGCAGCCATTTAAGAAAAAAAAGGCCAAATGGCTAGTTAGTCTTTTTGCATCTGAAAGGCCCGAAAATCACACTTACCAAGGAAAAGGAAACAAAAATTAGTGAGACCAAAAGGAAAGAAAGGAGAAGAGGAAAAAGCAATGGTTGCACCTTAAGTTTTTATATTAATTTTTGCTACTTTGGAGACAAGACAGAAGAGGTCTATTTTAGCAGTAAAGTTTTCAAAAGACCAGCTTCATATAGGTATAAATTTATGACACATACATGTATCAAGATAAAAAGTTATAATTTCCTGGTAAAGCTCCCTCTTGCTAAAATGAAACTGTATTCATTATGTGTTTATTATATAGACAAGAGAGTACAAAATATACCCTCATAAAATTAGTTCATATGAAACTACATCCGGGACTCGAGTAGCGTATTATTTTTCATATCCTCACTGTTGAGGATATCGATGAAGTCATTTCCCGCTCAAACTGTTCTTGCCAAATACTAAGAGAAAAATGGCAAGTGATAAATTTGTAAGTTATCTGAAGCTCTGCTCTGAGCTGACATAAGTTTTTAAGGTGAATAAACTATCTATCTATCTTCTCCTCTCCTAAAGTCAACTCTGGTCTCTGACCTGACAAATTACCTGCTTATTAAAAAAATAATTTGCAGCCTTATTCAACCCCTAGAAATTTTCCTTAAAAAATCGTTTGGGGCTAGTCAAGCCAAATTCTGGTCACCATCTGGCCAAAAAGAAAGACTGTCCAAGCTTCCAAAAACTCCACTGGACTCTAGATTTGACAACTGAAGTTTTGTGAAGAGTATTAGACATGGATGACATTACACTTCTCAAAGGTGCAGTACTAGGTTTTATTTTGGTGGGAAAAGTTTTTTGGGAAAACTTCAAGGGTCACAAGATTTTCAGTGGAATTTTTGTGTCGACTTGCATTTTAGCATTTTTGTATGGCCTGTTGACTGAATCATGCTGATCTGGATACGGGTTGAAAAATCCCTTTTCCCTACACAATACCCTGGTGATGTCATAGGTAGTACAACATACATGGATCCACACAGGGGGTTATATATGGCTCAGATATAACTGGGTTAACCCTTTCGTGCGCAATCGTACGAATTCGTACGATCGGAAGGGGTCTGCAGAAAAATGGTCAGCGTACATTTGCATGAGTCTTGGGTAGCCTGTGGTGACTTGATCAAGAAAGTGAACAACATGGGCGACATTTTGTGTCTGTATGATCAATTTTGGTCAAATTTTCGATATTTTATCGACCTCAGCGGCACGTGAACTCAAATAATGGCAACAGAAGACAAAGATCTTTCAGCTTCGGTTATATTTTTGGGGATTTTTCGCGGTAATGGTCATGTTTTTCGATGAGTTCTTCAGCGAACTACGAAGCTTAAGATTCAAACAGTTGAACTTTTAAGTGTGTGGTGCTGTCGAGGAAAGGTGCTGGATTTATAGGCTTGAAAGGTAACTCGAAGCAAAATTTGTTATTTTACAAAGAAACATATGCAAATAGCGCCATTTTGTATCGACCAGTCAAAGATTTTAGCCATTCTTTCGTAGTTTTAACACCGTTTATTTTGCTTTCTTGGTTTCAAAATAAAGCTTGTGTGACATTGGATCGATTTTTCTCACTGGCTTTGATATATGTTGCTGTGTGGAGTAATCATGCGGTGATAAACTTTATAGGCAACTATTTTGAGACACATTTTTGTCAAGTTTTTATTTTTAAAAAATTCTCAAAAATAGGATATTTGGTTTTCTGTTACCCAATGCGGGCTAGCTTCAATTTAATGTATCCCGAAACAGTCTAGGTCAGTTTTTGCCATCATACTATCAAGATTGATGCCAAGAAATAAATTTTTTGTTGGTAGTATTTTTAGCGGCCTTTTCCTTCCCAGGAACTTGCACACGAAAGGGTTAAAAGAGTGATTTATGAGACAGTATCAAGGATGTGCTCTAAAAAAATTGAAGGGAGGCCAGTGCTCTGAACTGGTGAAATCCAGAGCAGCTTATGATTGCTATGCTAGTCACCCAAGAACAATAATTACTAGGAGCATGGGCCACTGGGCGCTGCTAAAGCACAGCCTTGAGTATTATAGTGCTGAGAACAAAATTAATATGCAAAATTTGCCTACCTCAGCGACAGATCTCAAGCTTCTCTGAAACTTCAGTTGGTTCACACCTTGGTTGGTGGGTTTACCAAAAGTGGCACCCTTGGGTACTGGACGCTTGCGTCCACCACGCCTCACACGAACGCGGTAAATAACATATCCTTGCTTAGCTTTGTATCCTAAGCGACGTGCTTTGTCAGGGCGTGTGGGTCGAGATGCTCTATGGATAGCATTGAGTTGGCGAAATTGCCAGCATCGCACACGCAGCATAAAACGCAGAAGATCTGACTGTTTTTTCTTAAAGAGCTCCTCAAGGTACTTATATGCTCCCATGCTTTACCACAGGTCAGCTGAAAGAATAAAATTATGTGGAATTCAGTCACTGGCATTCAGCATGTATCAATACAGCACAGGATCAACAACACCTCCAGAAACAAAGGATTCTGTGTTTAATATGCACCTTAAATTTTGAAACAAGTTTTGGTAAAAAAAGTGCTTTTATACAGGGGTAAAAACACCAAGTGTGCATATATAGATGATATTACATGGCCACGTGGAGATATGAAATTTCTCAGAGAGCGTTGAAAAATATTTAATCCGTGAGTGCAGCAATTGAAATATTTTTCAACATGAGAAGAGAAATTTCGTATCTCCAAGCGGCCACAAAACGTTCTATTTATCATATAAACACCAATGAAATACCAAACTTTTTCACTTTGATAGTTTTTTGCGGTGAAAGGTGTGAATTAGTATGTGGCCATAACAATGGTGATCTTTTCACATGTGAAGATAATATGCTTTCGCAGGAAAGCTCACCCAGTATTTCATTGGCATTTATATAATAAGGTTAGATTCTTTCTGTAAAATGAGGCACCGCTGAGTAGCAAAAGCCATAAAGTACCAGTCAATTTCAAACCTGTCTTATATCATCATCATCATCAACAACAAAAACATCATCACATATGAACACATTTTAAGTTGCCATCGTATGATTATTTCTAAGTGCTTCACTAAAATAAAATCATTCTGTCTTCACATGGGAGAAAGCCAATAAAGGCAATTTCTGACGATTTCTGACGGGGGGTGGGGGGGCACATATTCTGCACTTTAAACTTTACTTTTCTGAAGGGGTAAATTTGTAAAGGCTTTCAGGGTCGAGCCAGCACACAGTGGCGTCTGATGCCTTACTTGGCTCCAGCCGACAAAGAAATCTTAGCTTGTTCGTATAGACGTAACAAAAGGCTACGCGGTGAGCGTGGCTATGTACAAAAAATTCCGCGACAGACTTAAAATAACTAGCCATCGACAGAAAACTGAAAGTCAACACCTTACAACTAAACTAGATCTCATTCGTTCCACAGTCAAACAAACACATTAGTCAATGTCCATAAAACGAATTTGTGGTAAGAAAATAACTTTTAGGAAAAGGAAAATTGTCAAAGTAATAGTGAAACCGTAGTTTACCGTTGGATGACGGTTTTTAAGCTAAGATTATAAACGATTTCAGATATGGTTTTCTTACCAGCGGTCCTAAAGAGCAGAGAAGGAAAGAGGTCTCACGAGTGGCTGAGCCTCGTTTTGAAGATTATTCTGCGCATGCGTTTTTGCGATGTATCTCAACCCGCCATTTTTAGTCGCCATTTTGAAAGTTTGTTTTATGGGCGATAAAGAGAGAAAAATTCTTAGATCTTTTTGGTTTTCTACCAAGAAGAAGACCTGTTTTCTTTGCAAATGAACCAAGGAGAAAGGGGAGAAGAAACAAATAGAGAGGAGTGGATGAGTAAGCTAACAGACATGCGATTTCAGAGGGCCGATATGAATCGTTTGATTATGGATTACCTCGTAACAGAGGGCTTTAAAGAAGCTGCTGAAAAATTCAAAATGGAATCTGGTACACAACCTTGTGTTCCTCTTGACAATCTAGATGAAAGGATCAAAATAAGAGCTGCTGTTCAACGCGGAGATATAGAAGAAGCCATCGCCTTAACGAACAAGCTAAACCCTGAAATTTTGGACTGTAAGCCTCACCTATACTTCCATTTGCAACAACAACGACTAATCGAGTTAATTCGTGAAAAAGATATTGAATCAGCCGTTGACTTCGCACAGAACCAGCTCGCTGAACAGGGTAATGAATCGCCAGAGTTTCTAGAGGAGTTAGAACGTACAATGGCTCTTCTAGCGTTTGATAACCCCGAGGATTCTCCCTTTGGGGAGCTGCTTTGCCCTTCTCAAAGGCAAAAAGTTGCCAGTGAATTGAATGCTGCTATCCTAGAAGCTGAACACAGAGAAACATCTCCTAAACTCTCTAATTTACTTAAGTTGTTATTGTGGGCACAAACAGAACTGGATACAAAGAAAGCAAAGTTCCCCAAAATGGTAGATGTAGCTAGTGGAACATTTGTTTAAATTTTGGGTTAACTTTTTAT